AGGCAAGAGAAGGAAGTTTGAAATAGTATGAAAAACTAAGAACTGAGGTGCGGGGAAAAGTAGACTTATCTCTTAAACAGTTCTATTAAGCAGTTGTATAACAGACTTTCATTGAATGCTTATGTACTAGGCACTTGACATACATTTTCTCATTTAAGTCTCAACCATTCCATTGGTACTATGTTTCCTCTTGTTGAGGTATAACAAATTTTTTAAAAAAATACTTATTTTGAGAGAGGGAGAACGTACACCCACATGAGCAGGGGAGGGTCAGAGAGAGAGGGAGTGAGAACATCCCAAGCAGGCTCTGCATGGTCAGTGGGGAACCCAACATGGGGCTCGAATTGATGAACTGTGAGATCATGACCTGAGCCAAACTCAAGAGTCCGACACTTAACAGACTGAGCCACCCAAGCACCCCAGGGTATAACAGATTTTTAATGTTCAGCTTATTGTACTCACACCTGTTAACCATCACCCAGATCAAGGGAAACTTCATTTCTACCACCCAGAAGTCTCCCTTGTACTGTTTCCTAGGCAGTATGCTTCTCCCACAAAGGTAGCCACTACTCTGACCTCTATCACTACAGTTTTGCTCATTCTTGAACCTTCTGTAAGTAGAATCCTATATTATGTACTCTGTCATTTCTGGATTCTTCTGTTGAACATGGTGTCTGGGAGATTGACCTGTGGGTAGGTACTATTACCAACCTCTATTTTACAGATGTAGAAACAGGATAAGGGAAGTTAAGTAGCTTGCTTTAAAGTTATATAGCAGAAAAATTCAGTATTTGAATTTAAGAACTGACTCCAGAGCTGGCATTCCCATCCACTTCACTAAGAATTAGTTGCAGGGGCGCCTGGGTGGCGCAGTCGGTTAAGCGTCCGACTTCAGCCAGGTCACGATCTCGCGGTCTGTGAGTTCGAGCCCCGCATCGGGCTCTGGGCTGATGGCTCAGAGCCTGGAGCCTGTTTCCGATTCTGAGTCTCCCTCTCTCTCTGCCCCTCCCCCGTTCATGCTCTGTCTCTCTCTGTCCCAAAAATAAATAAACATTGAAAAAAAAAAATTTAAAAAAAAAAAAAAAAAAAAAGAATTAGTTGCAAACTTCATGCAACAGAGTATGTTTCAGGTTTTTATTTTGTCCAAATCTTTTCTTTGCTGATGCACTGTCATTTAAAACAAGTCTTAGGAAAGCAACCTCCTTAACTGTAAATAGTACTTTATTTAACTCCCCACTTGATAGAATGGCTATTTTTAGCTCTGCTAAAAGATAGGACTGTGTTGAAGGTTGAGTGGGTGATCAAATGGAAAATCGTGAGTTGGGAAAGTCATGTGGGATTATCTGGGGGAAGCTCAGGACATGAGGCACATGCAGCAATGCCTTTCTAATGTCAGCAGGAAGGGCTTAGAAGTTTTGCAAACATACGTGGATTTTTTAGATCTTAACCTCTGTTCAGAGTTTGTGTTCTTTTTTTCTTGAATGTCTCCTTGAACATGTGCCTGCGTCAGTACGAGTCACTAGCCCTGGGGAGGCAGAACATGATGGCAAAGAGAAAGTGGAGCATACGGCAAACTGCTGACGTAGAATTCAACTTAAAAGAGAAATGAATACGATTAATAGGACTTCTTACAAACTGGGGTGGGGGTAATTTCAAATTTACTGTAAGATTGTAATAATACAGAAGACTTCCATAATACCCTTTACCCATTTCTCCAATTCTTACCACTTGTCACGTTTGCTTTTTTGGTCTAATACACACATGTGTATGTGTATATGTATACATATGTACAAATATAATTTTCAGAACCATTTGAAAAAGTAGAATGCATATATTCCCATTTAGCCTCTAGTATTTCAGAACGTAGTTATTAAGCACAGGGTTTTTTTTCTGTATAGCTAGACAGTGCAATTGTGAAATTCAGAAAATCTAATATTGATAAAATAATTTTTAATGCCTATATTGCATTCCTGTCAGTTGCCTCATATCCTCTGTAGCATTTTTCTTTTCCTTTATAGGTGTAATCCAGGGTCATGAATTTTATTTAGTTGTCTTTTTAATGGTCTTTAGAATAATCCCTCAGCCTTTCATAGAATGAGAAACCTCAAAGAAGCCTGAATTGAGGGACAGTGTGAGAAACGGATTATGTATTTTTGGTAGGAAAATTAGATCAATGATGTGTCCCTCTTGGTGTACCACATGTGCATTATGTTAGCTTGCTTATGACCTTTGTCACTTACCTAAGATATAGTGTCTGCCAGTCTTCATTGCAATGTTATATTTTCCTTTGTAATTAATATTTTTGGGGAGAAACTTTATTTTAAAAATATCATTTTCCTACTTGCACCTTACAGATTGAACATCTGTTGATTGATTTTTGCCTGAATTGATTTTTATTATAATGGTTTCAAGATGGTGAATTTTAAAAAATTCCATAATTTCTTATATATTTAAAACATTCTGTTGATAAAAAGTGGCATGGTTTTTGTTTTTTTGTTTTTTGTTTTTATCAGCATGGATACATGATTTCTCACTTAATGGGTTATAGTCTACAACTGTTGCTTATGCTCAGATTTTCTGAGATTTGGTCTGCCGGAATCTTTCAGCTGGCTTGTGTATCCTTTGACATGTCTCTGATCATTTATTAAGCAGTTGTTCTTCTCTGGCACAACAAGATGTTCTAGGTTCATCTTTTATCTTTTCCCAAGCCTGGAATCAACCATTTTTTCATGGGGCTCTGGTTTTGCTTTTGGTGAGGATTGATATTTCAAAATCAAGATCTGGATGCTAGTTAGACTCCTTCATTGTCACTGGAGTGTCCTTGTTTCTGGGTCTTTTCAGTGATGGGGTTAGAAAACCTATTTTAGAAGTAAATGGACTCAAAATTATGCCTCAAATTTTAATCCTGCCCCATAGGTTTTTTTTTTTTTCCCTTGCCTTCCCTGTTAAAAATATATATATATGCATGTGTATATATATATATACACACATATATATATTTTTTAAAAAGTTGATTATGAGAGAGAGCATGAGTGGGGAAGGGGCAGAGAGGGGGAGAGAGAGAGAATCCCAAGCAGGCTCTGCACTGTCAGTGTAGAGCCTGATGTGGGGTGCAAACCCACAAACCAGAAGATAGTGATCTGAAACCAAGAGTTGATGTTCAACTGACTGAGTTGCCTGGGTGCCCCTATTAAAATACTTTTTAAAATAAAATATTTACTCATTTGCTTAGTCCTACAATATATGCAAAATAGTTTCAGGATTGCTATATCCATATTATGAAGAACCTTAATAATATCCATATTATTAAGAGTTCAAGATTGGTATGCATGTACACACATGTACATACACAAAGTATTCTATTCAGGTTACTTGGAATGGGTTCTTTCCTGTCCCTTTCCCCATTAGGTGATGGTTATTCATTTGAAATACTATTGAATCCACT